GGTTTACCTTTTTTTAAGAAAACCCTTTTTCGGGGGGAAAAATAAGCCGGGTTCCAACCCATTGTTTCCCCCCTGGGGGGGTTATTGTGGGGGGCGCCCCAATGGATACCCTCCTGGGCTTTGGGGGCTTCCGGGGGGCATTCACAGATTATTTTTTTGGGGGGGGGGCCCCCTCCCAACTTAATTTATCCCCAAAAAGGGGGGGGGCCTGCCTTGGGTTAGCCCCTGGTTTGGGTGGGTAGGAAGGTTTGGTTACCAGGATTTCATTTTGGACAAAAAGGTTTTAGGGCGGGTTGGGATCCCCCGAAAACAGGGGGAAAAAATGGCCCACCCTTCGGGGGCGGCGTTTTTGGGTTGGGATATTTTTTTTTCCCCCCCCCCCCCCCCCAGCGACTCCAGGGAAGAAGGGAATCAGATGGGACAAGGTGGTAGAGAAGGTTTGGAAGGAGATAGGAGACGAGGAGGAGACGTTGGACACGGAAGGGTTCGGGGGGATCAAGACGAAAGTCAAGGAGATGCTAGAAAGTAGGGAGGAGGCAACCCTTCGGAAGAAGGTACGAAGCGAAGACCACTTGGAGATATACCAGAAGTTGAAGGAAGGGATAGGGATGAAGACGTACTTGGACGGCCCCATGGACTACGCGAAAAAGCTGAAATTGCAATTTCGAGTAGGCGATCTGGACTTGCCAGAACGGAGGAAGAGGTATACCAGCCGTAGGAGAGAGGAAGAGGAGGTTAGACACACATGTCCATGTGGCAAATCGGAGGAGAGTAGACCCCACATAGTTGGGGAGTGTGAGTTGTACAGGAAGGATAGAGAGGATCTCGAGGAGGAAATGAGACAGAGAGGGTGTGACATGGACAAGTTTGGTAAATTAGACAACAGCGAAAAAACGATAGCGATAATTGGGGATAGATGGTGGGCACAAGAGGCCCTAGAGGACGGGGATAAGATGTGCAAGAAATTTTTATGTAGTTTGTGGCAGAAACGTAAAGAGCTCCCAAATGTTGGTGGTGTCTCTAGTAGGGGTAGGAACGGTGCTCCGTCTCGAAAGGGACGCGTGGTCAATGGTCAAATGACTACGGCAAGCAACAAATGAGTACGCCCCCCCCCCCCCACGCAAGGAAGCTGACATGGCAGTATCGCATGTGCGGGATGGGAGAGGAGAGGTTGCCGAGAATAGTATGGGAGGCAAAGTGGGCAAACAAAAAGAGGGGTAGACAACCCACGGAATGGGTAAAGGTTGTAGAGGACGTATGGAAGGGGTTCGGAATCGACGAAGATGAAGCGCTGGAAACGGAAGGTCTACAGGGGTTCAAGGAGAAGATATCTGGTGCTTGTGCCGAGAGAGAAGAACAAAATCTAAGGAAAGAAACCGAGGATAAGGAGGGTCTAGAAGTGTACGGAATGTTGAAAGAAGGAATAGGGTTCAAGGATTACCTACATGGACCAATGGATGCAGGGACAAAGCTTAAGGTCAAAATTCAGGACCGGGGACATAGGCCTTCGAGAACGTCGACGAAGACATAGGACAGTAGACAACGAAGACGGCAAGTTCAAATGTGATTGCGGCTTCGAATGCGAAGACCGTGTTCATGTAGTCGCGGAATGTCCGTGGAACGAAGAGGAGAGGGAAGTGTACATGACTGAGCTGGGAAAAATACAAAGGACGTACAGGGAGATGTTTGAGGCATGGAGTAGAGAGGAGAGGACGGTAGCTGTACTGGGGAGTAGGAAGTGGTTTGAACAGGCGAGAAGGGATATCGTTAGGATAGGTAGACTAGGAAGACATTTTTGAGCCACCTTTGGCAAAATGGGAAGCAACGATTGACCATCGGTGATTGGTCTAACCGCTAAGGCATGCAAAACATCAGAGTCCCCCCCCCCCCCCTTGGCAAAGTACTGTCGGCGATCGGTCCTGTGGGAATAATGCTCCGTCCTCTCGAGGACGCGTGGTCAATGTGTATAACCGCTAAAAGGCTCATGAAACACGATTACCCCCCCCCGCCCCCACGTGCCTCCCCCCTGGTGCCCCCCCCCCACCCCCAAACCGGGCCCACTCTTTTCTTTTTTGACAGGATTCTCTCGATCATTCAATCTGGGTAAGAAGCTCGGAGAGGGGGCTTTCGCGGAGGTATTCGAGGCGACGGTCAAGGGCGACCGACCAGGGGGGAAGTCGTACGCGGTCAAGCGGACCGTCCGGCGAGGGCTAGCGAAGGAGGACGAGAAGGGGTTGCTCGAAGAGGTGTGCATGTTTGCATGCCGCGTGCATGTTTTGTTTGTTTGCGTGCGTATGTGTTTGTTTTGTCGTCAGCATCGACCGCGCTTTACCGGCTGACAAGAAAATTGTGTGTGTGTCCTGTATGGTATGCGTGCGCACGGAACAGCAGCGGGCGTTGTCGCGGGTCTTTCGTTCGTGTTGCGATGGCAATCAACCGGTAGTGCAGTCGTCCCCCGGTTAAGGACGCGCATGGTTCTTCGTTTAAGCAGATGTCCTTAAGCCGGGGAAGTGTCCTCAGGGTTGATACCCCTCGTTCTGTTTACATTCTGCGAGCCACCATGCCTGTGAAATAAAGAGTTGTCCTTGACCGGGAGAGTTGTCCTTAAAAGTGGGGTCTTACGCGAGGGATGAGGGTAGTTGGTAATGCGCTTGCGGGGAGAGCGAGGCGCTCGAGTCCCCTGCTTGGTCGAGAGTGTTGGCCTCCCCGTTGTGTTGTCCCCCCCATCCTGGACAAAATGATGGCCTGCCACCGCCGCGAACGTCGTTTTTTTAGGGTGATTGTGGTGCGTGCTGCCGTTACGAAAACGCCTTTCAGTCGTACATGTTCTGCACCTTTGTTGGTCAAACACGCCTATGCACAAGAGGAGGGTTAGGGGTGTGTGAGGGGGGGGTCGATTTTCCGTCTGCACTTGTTCTCGAGACGGAGTGTTGGGCTACTACACGGCAGCACGTTGCCCCGAGATAATATTTAGCACGTCAGCGGCGTCGACGCGCGGTGGTCGACGGGCGAATCGGCTATTTAGTGCGTTGCGCGACTCGGCGAATGGCTGGCCGGCCACTTGTTTTCAGCGGACTGGCCTGGTGTACCGGGGCGAGGGTGCGGCGTTTGAGTGTGTGGGCTCAAGCGGGCCATGCAAGCGCGGTACATACGGGAACAGCAGTATCCGTACGACGTTCGCAGAAGCACGGCTCTTCTCGACATGGACGCATACAGCAGTAGTATGTCCTCCGTAAAATCAACAGTTGAGAAACACAAGTCATAATTAACACATAGGGGGAAGCTTTTTGTGAGTGTCTTTCCGTCGGACGCCGCCCGTGTTCCCGTGTCCGTTGTTGTAACTATTAATACCGTCCCCCAATACTTCCTTCTCTTGACACACGCCGAGCTGTGGCTGTCAGCCTTGGCGTGTTCCTGCCCCCCCTACCCCTTCAATCTTGTATCTCAATTGTTGTTGTCGTTGCTGCTGCTGCTGCCGCCGCTGCCGCTGCCGCCGCCGCCGCCGCCGCCGCCGCCGCGTCCGTTCGTTCGTTCGTTCGTTCGTTCGTTGGGGTGATGCCTGCCTCTGAACGAAAAAAAAAGGTACGGATACTCCGCCTCCTGCAGCACTCGAACGTGGTGGCCATTTACCAGTTCTTCCAGGACGATCCCGACTACTACTACATGGTGCTGGAGAACATGGCGGGGGGCGAGCTGTTCGACCGCATCGTTCAGAAGGTGGGAGACATGGCGGAGAGAGACAAATGAAACGGTTCGATGGCAGCGGGGGGTTACCATCGAGATACGTCTTTCGTTTCTCACAGGCTAGGGTGGGAGGAGGGTCGGAGCGAGAAAGAGGAAGCAGTTGTGGCCTTCGCGAGGATGTTAAAAGCTTGGTTTTATTATAGTATGGTAGGGGTTACGGTGCGGGATTGGGGGTTAGGGTTTGGGTTACGAAACCCCCCTCTCTATTTCATAGATTATTATTGGTATCCCTCGGGAAGGCGGTCCAGAGGAAGAGAAGAGGGGTAAGTGGGGGCGGGGTGGGGGCGCACCACCCGCGTGAATTGACGACCATTTCTTGTCGGTGGTGCGATGCGGTGTGGTTTTGGTCTTGGCCATCATGTCGAAAGCTTTGTCGGTGATACAGTACCAGGCTGACGTATTTTCATTGGTCGACCGGTCTTAGCGCGGTCGATGCTACAGAGCCCAAGACACACGCACACCCCAGATCATGGTCTTTACCTCGATGTATAGAAGCATTTTCTGTTTTCAGCCGCGCTGAGACTGATGCCTTTGCAGGTGGTCGGCCGGTTTTACATAATGCGGTCGATGCCACTCACGAAAGGCACACACGCACGCACGCGCGTGCTTGCTTGCGTGCTTGCTTGCTTACTTGCTCGGTTACCGCCGCCCACCGCCGCCGCCACGGCCTCAGTCGTACTACAACGAGGAGGAGGCGAGAGACCTGTGCCGCGTCCTCCTGGACTCGGTCAGGTACTGCCACGAGCTGGGCATCGTCCACCGGGACCTCAAGCCCGAGAACCTCCTCCTCACCTCCAAGCACGACGACGCCGGCATCAAGCTCGCGGACTTCGGCTTCGCCTGCAGCGTGCTCAACGGCCCCGTGTCGGAGCAGTGCGGGTCGCCGGGTTACGTGGCGCCGGAGATCCTCAGGGCGCTGCCGTACGGGACGGTAAGGAAGCATTTAAAAATATTCCTTTTTTGCGCGAGTTTTTATTGGCGGTAGAGTTTATTTCTTTGCGGGGGGGGGGACAGGGGGTACCACTGATGTTTTGAATGCGTCAGTTGTTGCTAGAGCCTTGTTCCCGCAGCACCGACCACCGATGTTCAAGCGTTCCTTCCTGCTTTGCTGGCGGGGGGCGCGGTGTACTCAGCCGGTGTTACGTAGCCTCGGCTGTCTCAGTATTTACTTCGAAGCATTGCACCGCCCCCACTACGAAGTACTGCAATACGCCGCCGGTGTTCGGACCCTTGCTCTATAGCGCGCGTCTGACTCGTGTGTTTAGGCGCGGGGGAGGGGGGGGGGGGGCGGAGGTAGTCTTGGCTGTTGCTCGGGGCCATCTCTCGGAAAACGCGACCCGTGGTGATTGGAACACATTGCGCGTATTTTTGAGAGCGGGGCACGGGCGTGACAGCTGCTCCGGTGACGAGGTGTGTCCCTGCTGTCACAGAGACAGAGGAGGAGGAAGCGAGGTGGGGGGAGGTGCGTGAAGCACTCCTCTCATAAGGAGGCGGGACGGGCGAGGGCGGGGGCTCCTCCACAGGAGACGTGAAAGCAAAGGAGGGAATGTTGTTGTCAACGTCACTGCGTTGATCACGGACGGCACCGCAACTACCGTGTGGAGGCGGAACGTGGGGCCCAAGTCTTTCTCGCTGAAAAGTCATCAAGACGACACGCACCAGTTTCGCAGTGATGCGCCTTGTGCCCCCCTCCTCCCGTCTTGCCCGCACCCCGACGTTTTTTGGGGGGTGGGGTAACGGCCACGGCTAAATTGCTGGTTCATTTTCTCACGACGGCAAGGGGCTGATTTCACTCCGCTCTCTTTCTCTCCCCCCCTCTCTCTCGCACACCGCTTGGTTCTAACTAGACCTGTCTTTTTTTTTTGCGATCTCTGCCCATTTTGCTCGCTCCTTGTCCTCCTTGCTCACCTGCTGTGCCATCCATGTCTTGGATTTTACCCCGGAACCGACAAAAAAAAAAAAAAAAGTCGGTGGACATGTGGAGTGTGGGCGTAATCATCTACACCTTGCTCGGGGGCTACCCGCCCTTCCACGACGAGAACCAGACGCGACTGTTCCGCCGGATCAAGGCCGGGAGCTTCAAGTTTCATGACGAGTACTGGAGCAACACCTCGCTCGAGGCCAAGGTGCGCTGCCTGCCTGCCGTCTCTCGACCACAATGAATTGCGGACAAGTATCCACCGGCACGGGGGGGGGGGGGGGGGGG